AAAAATTATGATGATCATGGAATGATCTGTTACACTTGATAAGCATAGAGAAGAAAAATCAGCAGTTAGGCTTATTGAAATAAAAGGCTTGCTTGGAAACTTTAATACTTCATGTTAACACTTGTTTATCTGATAATAATATTCACCATTGAAAGTAATAATAAAGATTCATTATGTTCCAAAATAACAATTCATTTTGCATGTCGATAAGAAATGCAGTGTTTTTTTCCTGCGAATAGTTGGCTCTTATGCAGGAAACGAATTACTGAACAAACAAAAAGTAGATTGTAGATCATCCAGAGTTCAGTGGCCTAACCGATAGAGGATGACTTTGAGTTGGCAATTGTTTGCGTGGTTAAAAAACGAATTGTAGTTAATCTAACTTTCCACTGATCCTGATAGATTATATACTTGTCTGAGACTGTATTCTACACACATAAATGAGATCACTGGTCCACAACTGGATTTTCTATTTTCTTCAAATCACAGTTTGTTAGTTGTACCCTGCTTCAGTGCTTTGCCACATAGTACAATGTTTTAGACTCCATCACCCTTACTAATTAAGTAATATCATATAGTGTGGGATGTAGATGTAGCATGACATTAAAGATTTTGAGCATGCAGTACACTAATTTGAGTAGCCATACTTATACATCAGCTCACCAAATAGCGGCATATTTATTATGGCCATAGTAAACTCTAAAGCTATTTCATGTAGTCTTCAAAAAGGAACTGATGTTTTTTGCATGAGGTCTGATGATTAATTTCAGGATAAACTGCGTTTGCTTGCTGCCAAAAAAGTGAACTCAATGCGGCAATTTGTCGTATGAAGCAATAAGAGACATACCATAGAAACTCAACATAGAGCAAAGGCAGCATCTTTGGCGAGGTGGTCAAACCATCAAAACCATGCGAGCTATAGCTATGTGGAGCACCATAACTGCTGCCACACACCGACTAAAACGGTCAATCTGCTTGTCACTATACATGGGTCGTATCTTTGGCAAGCATGCCTGATGGCTAGATCCCGCAGATGCCACGTCAACATATGACCACCGTCGGGGACACCACTACATGAAGAGAGATCATTGAGCTGATCTTCAGCATGGCCGTTTGCACATGATGCATGTTGATCGAAGTGCAGAGAGCTAATCAACCCTGTTTGGATCAGGAGTGCTCATAAATTAACTGAAGATGTCCTAGAGGATGGGACACGACTTGTTCAAAAATAGGGTGCAGCCTTGCACATGATCCTTTAGAAAAATATGAAGATTTCTTCATGCCTCCCTATGCCAAACTGCGTGTGTATAAGTTCTCTTCTTCCGACAGGCTATGTATCCATCGGGAAAGTGTCACCTTGCTGAGAGTTCGCCTCCTCCCTTCGCCTCAAATCCAACTGGCTGAAATTCCATCTGAATATATCGAAAGTCCTCATCATATTTTCTGCCAGTGTCAGCTATAAATATCTGAATATTTAAACTGTGATAGATAGATAACATGTATTACTAAAAAAAGTAAGACCTCATTGATTCAATTGTTACAATTGCAGTAAATTTCATTATGAGCATTTTGTATAAAAAAGGCCGTATACCTAGATCTGTTGCCAAATACAACAAACGAACAATTTAAACAGTGACATGTATAACTCGATATGCCATCATCTATCTAAATTTTTGCACATGCAAAAGTACTAAAATCTCATAAATCCACCAAAACATATATTATACACTATTAGACATGATTTTCAGAAATACAGGAAGTTCGTAATATATTAAATGTCGAAAGTACATGAAAATATTTTATGCCAAGGCATCATACTTTTTTCTTAATCCCGGACATACAAATTATTTGTTAAACATGCAGATAATCTGAGATTTATCGCATATTAGAATAAAAAATATACAACATCTAAATCACTTCCTTATGAAAAATAAACTGCCTGGCAGTGGTCAGTTTCTAGATGTAGAGAATGCTACTTACCTAGCTTGCTGCAGGTTGGAAACAAATGTGATACAGATCCCCTCAGCTGGCCGGTTCTCCTTCTCTTTGGATGTGTCGGGGATGAATACACCTCCAACCTGTCAGCTTGGGTCCCACCATACAATCATTAAAATGTTGAAATGGGATAAAAGCTCGAACAAAGTTTCTTTGATAGGGTAATTTGGATAGTTTTGTCCCTAAAAAGAGTAAAAGGGTCAGAAATACACAATTAGGGGATAAGAAAGTGAGTTAATTATTTTGTGTTCCCTTTAACTTATTGGTCCTAGTGTTTCCTTAGTGTTATACCAATAATGCATATTGCTAAGAAGAATCAATATTTTTTGGAGACATAGACACATGCACAAACCACGCGCACGTACTCACAAAGTGGAGTTCATCAATGAATAGTGTACATATCTGGTATGCTAAAATATTCATCTTTCATACAAAATGCACATAATCAAATTTGTTATATTATTTGTGTACCCACCAAAGCATAAAATAGGTTGACAAACTTTTGATATACAAATGTGATGGCATTCTGTTCATTGATAATGCAAAGTTGAAGTGCCCCCCCAAAAGAATGAATGCTTACCAATATGTAAAAGGCGCCTTAGGATGCAATAGGACACTAGCATTCACCATAGGGAGACAAAGTAAATACACCACCAACACTTGCACTTTTGTGAATAACGTTCTCCATATTTTTCTCTCCCTTTACATATACCACTTCATTATGTTGACTCATCCACACTTCTAATGAGTGATTCTCTTGTCTGGCATATATATGAGCACATAAGATAGGTAGCAACCAGATAGACGGAGGAGACCATAATAAAGAACCAGATAAATATGTATGGAAAAGCAAACAACCATGGTGAGATATGAAGCCATTCAAATGGTTAGGTTCCCAACATTTTCGATGATACATTTCTGCTAGTCCTAGTGCTAATGGACTAGCCACATACAAAGTAGCCTCAGCGAGACCCTCATGACACAGTTGATTCTGGTAGGAACGAACAGTTCAGTTGCACCATGATGACAATGTCGGTAATTCTGGTTATCAACAATGAAATCTCATTTGGTGGTTATGATCTATAACGTGGTGGGGGCTAAGTCATGGGATTGTCAAGTTGGCAAGGCAAGTGGGACTGCTAAGCAGCACATGGGACTCATGCTGAATTAAGTGGTCACTAGTGAGACGAAATCAATTGTCTCTTGGAATTAGAAGGTAGAGGTGGGAAAAAATTAGTGGTCGAAGGAAGAAGTCATGAAAAAGCAAAGACAATGTTGCTCTCATCTAGCGCATCTTGTGGAGTCTTACTCTCGTGTACCAATATTTTTATTTTGAAGAAATAACCAACACTCCATATTGATGCTCAACAGTGTTATGTGGTCTGTCAACTCTCATCCTCCCAAAACATGAACCATTTGTACTCTTTCATGATGCCCTAATTCAACCAAGCCGTCAAATTTATAGGGTCTCTAAGATCTTCAGCATAACATTTTGCCTAACGAACGATCACTATAAACATGGGTGGTGCTAATAATGCACGCAAATAATGGCTGCATATGACAAACTACTTTGTAAAATGTGCATGGATTGGCAGAAACACATGATCATGCTCGTTGATGCTTATTCAAACAAGGGAATCTACAAGGGGAAACCAGCTCATTGACGGCCCATCAAAATCTTGCCAGCCACTTCAAACAACTATAACACATGCTTGGTCACACCAGCTCCAAAGTAAAACAAGGAACATACATACCAATCTTCTGAATAACTTCATGCCAGACTACAGTTTGCAGTGTGGCAGACGAGTCAAACACCTTGTAGTCACAAAGGGAATCAGAGGCCCGGTGCTCCGCTTTCTTCACCATTCATGGATGGATGCTAGGCAAGTTGAGTTCCTGACATAGCTGCTTGAATGCTGGATTTCTGTCACGGTTCTTTGAAGTCTGGAGTGGAGTGTACGCTCTGGTTGTGAGCCCAAGCTGGCAGCTGGTCTGGGTGCGGGGGTGGTGCGAATTTCTACATCACCCTTGTAGCGATCGCGTTGTGAGTGGCTGGTGACGACCATACATGGCGTTTTAGGTCTCAGATCTTTTTTTCCAATGCTGTTCAAACTAGGTCCATGTTAGTGGAATGGTTCGTTTCCTTTTATTTTGCATCGCTGTTGAGTGTTGACGGTGGTTTGTAATATTTATCGTTCGGGCATATTAGCATTTCCTTCTTAATAAAAATGTCATGCTTCTAGGCGTTGCAGAGAAAAATTTATGCTACATTTGGATCGCAATAAGCTTCATCAAAACTAACACCTTGATTTTCTGTACAAGAGCACCACATTAGTAATCAGACAAGCTAGTAATTAAAGCTTCATCTTCTGCAAGCTTCTATTCTGAGTTCTGTCTTCAAAAATTACAAAAAAATATCTGCTTAATTCATGACGACCAGAGTACAAATATACAAGGGTAATATTCATTGGCAAGTTGTGTGAAACTCTGGCCTGCTGCTGAAAGAAAACAATGTTGCAATTCAGATTACCTTTTGTGGCTACATGAATGTAAGACTTGTCATTTTTTTAATAGTGTCCCCCTAGTAGAGTAAGAATGCAATCTTAGGAGCATCTTTCTGAACGAAACCATCCTATATACAACTGCGTATTCCATGAAAGCAAAAGAGTTCTTTTCTGAAAAACGAAGGATCCCAGCAAGAAAGCTGAAAAGTAAATGACAGAAGATGCATAGCAAGAAACATAAATACGTGATCAAACAGTATCAACAAGTTCCAGGTTGGAAGACAAGTCCAATAAATCTTTCTTGTTCAGCATACAGGATTAACACCCAACCAAACTATTCACTGAACGGAGTACAATATAATTCGATATATTTTTGTATGTGATTACATGGATGCCAAGTCAAGAAACCATACTTAGTGGCTAGCTAAATCATAAAAGCACCAGTTGACAGGGCATGTCTAAGACTAGGCAAACCTCCACGACGAGCAAAGATGAAATGGTTCACTCGCTGACACCATACACCAAACTGGGGAGCACCCAGAAGCTCTCCAACTGCTTGCTTTTCCATCCGAGAATATATGTAATGGGGTGGGAACTCGTAGGCACGAACTGACCAAGCTCTACCTCAATCCAAGGTTTGTCGGAATTTTTGGACCCACTCGGAACGTAAATGCAGTTACTCTTCCCGCCCCATCGTTCAGGGTTCATGCAAGAAAATGTAGAACTCCTGGTATCCAAGCTAATAAAGAGAGCCCAATTTTCCAACTTATCCAACTTCATCCACTTAGCGGGTTCTGTTAAGTCGAGGCGGTAGGCTTGAAAGCAGAATTCGTGAACAAGTATGCAGAGGTCAACCATGAGAAGCATGTCACCACAGACCACCAACCATGGTTTGACCATGCCCTGTCCGCACACTACAACTGGTACTTCCGACATGCCAAGCTGAGGTGCCAAAGAAATGATATTGAGCTTCAGAAGAGAGTCCATGGCAAACATCTTACCTTTGAAGGGCACAATTTGATGAATGCGGCGTTCAGCAATAAGAGGGTGTTCTGTCCAGGAGTTTGCTCCAAGTTGCCACTGGAACATAGAATTTCTCGAGAAAAGGAGGAGGTACGAGTTGGGCGAACTTAGCGGAGCTGTAAAGATGCCGTAGTAGATTTCAGAGTTGTCACTGTGTCGGAATTTCGGGGGCTTCATGATAGTACCAGGAGTGAAGTGCAATGTAGGTCCTCGAACTATTTCAGGGGTGTCACGTAGGTCCTCGAACTATGAAAATTGTCATCCAAGTCCTCAAAGTGCAGTAACTGTGTCATTCGGGTCCAAAATCTCCCTGACCCCCTCTAACCGGCCAGCTGGCGGCGTTAAACATGAACAATGAAATAGTGAACTGTGAACAGTAAAACAGCGTTAAGTTCCGAGCATCATTTCTGTACGTGATGAACAGTAAAATAAAAAAAAATCTAAAAACCTTTGACATCGAAGATACCCAGGTGTATGAACATTAAAATGTTCATTAATTCAGAAAAATGTTCGCGAATGATGAATTTGGAAAAAATATACGCGACTTTAAAAAAATGTTCGCGGACGATGAATTTGGAAAAAATATTTGCGACTTTAAAAAATGTTCGTGAATGATGAATTTGGAAAAAATATTCAGACTTTAATTAAAATGTTCGTACCTTTAAAGAAATGTTCGTGAACGATGAATTCGGAAAAAATATTCATGAATTTTAAAAAATATTCACGACTTTAAGAAAATGTTCGCGAACGATGAATTTGGAAAAACTATTCGTGAATTTAAAAAAATGTTCACTAACATTTTTTTAAAGTCAAATATATTTGTGGTTCGCGAACATTTTTTTAATGTCACGAACATTTTTTCCATGCCTGCGAACAATATTTGTGGTTAGCGAACATATTTTAAAATTTATTGTTTGTGAACATTTTTCTAAAGTTGCGAATAACTTTTCCATATTCGCGAACATTTTTTTGAATTAGTGAACATTTTTACTGTTCACGCACCAGGGTATCTTCAATGCCAAAGAATTTCAGATTTTTTTGATTTTTACTGTTCATCACGTACAAAAATGATGTTGGAACTGGAACGCTATTTTACTGTTCAGTGTTCACGGTTAACGGCGCCAGCTGGCTAGTTAGAGGGGGTTAGGGAGATTTTGGACCTGAATGATACACTTATTGCAGTTTGAGGACCTGGATGACAATTTTCATAGTTCGAGGACCTACATGACACCTCTGAAATAGTTTGAGGACCTACATTGCACTTCACTCTAGTACCAGTGTACACATCAACAAGGAAGCATTGCTCAAAACTGTAGAAGATAAAATACCCATATGAGCAGCCCAAATAGCACATGTGATATGGAGTCTGTCGGAGTGCTGAACTACGAAGCGATAAGTTTGTCTTCGCAGGATCATGAAGCTGCCATTTGGTGTTAGATAAAGGCTAGTCTGACGTATCGTCGTCCCCTATATGCTGATGAGCATTATGAAGATCTGTGTTGACAAAGAGAGGTGGGAAGGAGAAGTGATATATGGGCAGGAAAGAAGAAACTGTGGCAAGCCAAGAGCGGCAGGTGCTAGTAACAGCAAGGAAGTCATGGAATGAGCTAAGGAGGACAATGATTAGGTGAAGCAGGCTGTCCGTAACATCTGCCCAAACTTGTCGTCCAGATGAGTCTGAGTCATTTGATCCAAAGCTGTGGCAAATTTTCTTAGACGGCTTCTCTATGATGGCAACTTCTCTGTCATACAGAAAATTCAAGAAAGATAGATCAGAATCAAGAAATCAAATATCACAGGGACATAACTAATAAATGGTTAGAAATGCTAAGGGGCAAACCAAGATGCTCATCTCACTGAGCATCATCTTTTCTTTTCAGACAAGATGTATATCAAGTTATCAACATGGCACATTTGAATCACAATAAGGTATAGCAAAATAACCAACATGTTCATGTTCATGCTCAGCACAACATTTGAGAGCACCAGTATCCTTAGAACAATTATAGCGCACATACCAAGTGACGAGAGTATCATATTCATAAATAAATAAAATTCGGTTTTATGCAATCTTTTCATCACATAAATTTATAATCCCTGCTTTGCACATATTTTTTTGGCAACTAGCTATCCCAATCCCTAGGTGTTACACGACTGAGAACACAAAGCATCATGCCAAAATTCTTTCTGGTTAGATTAACACTAGGAAAATAGTTACACAATTTCATGATCCACCACAACCACTAGAAAAACTTGCATCAGGAAGAGGAGAAAACAAGGTTAGGGTTCTACAGACCTAGGGGCGAGAGCGGCAGGTGCCGGCCGCAGCGGGAGCTCGGTCTCCGGTGGCTCTTGGGTTCCGACCCAGAAAGGGGCAACCAAGTCTGTATCTACCCCTTCCGCCGCATCGCGTTTGCCCATCGGATGCGTCGGCGACAAAGGGGCGGAAAAGAATCGGCGGCGCGGAGATGGTCGACGGGGTTATTTGGCTGGAACGAACCTGCTGCATGGCTTTTTATTCGGCTGGAACGAACCTGCTCGGCCCGGCCCATCCCAGCCCAGCTTACCCGTGTGTCTTCCACTACTCCCTCCTTTTCTAAATATTAGTCTTTTTAGAGCTTCTAAAAAAAGTATTTTTAGGGATTTCAATATAGGCTACATACGGATGTATATACATGCATTTTAGATTGTATATCCACTCATTTTACTCTGTATGTAGTCCATTATTAAAATATTTAAAAGGCTTATATTTAGAAACAAACGGAGTACCAGAGTAGCAATTAAGCCTAGAAGATATTTTTTCTGCTAGGAATTTTGTTCTGACCCCCCTATAAAAAGGAATTTGTTCTGAGGATTAGTGCAAATTTTGTGTAAAATTATCTGAAAAAAGATGGAGTGGCGATTTCCTTTTCTTCTTTATTACATAAAGATGTGTGTGGCAGCCACACCCTTTAATTAAGAATATGTAGTCTTGGAAAATTGATGCAAACCACATAGTTCCACGGATCTTGCTCGACACACAGCTTCTCCATCATAAGGAAAATTTAACAACAGTGGATCAGATTGATGTATAACAATTAGTGAACTTACT